CTGTATCCTCCGTAGCCTTGGGTATCCCATGATTCATTGGGAGTCCAAGCAAGCTGGCTGCTCCGTGCTCAGAGGAAGAAGGGAAATGGCGCCAAACAGTGGTGAATATTGGAAGTTCAGTTTAATATAATTCAGTGTGTGAATAGTTCCGTCTGAAATTAATGAAAATAGTTGTTTTAATGGTTATAGAGTCAGATATGTGGCGGTAATGTTTGGTGGAAATGGGTTTGGCTGACATTTAAGCTCAGATTCTAATATCTCTGCAGGGTGGGGACTATAAATCTGACATCTGAGACGACCGTACTGCTGCTGAAGCTCCTCAGAAATGTAATCAGCACCCAGAACAGCAGAGAGAAGTTCAGCATCCATTCTTTGCTGTGTTAAATGTTACGGTTACTAGGCAACAGTGGGGGGGTGAAAGCCGGAGAAGGCTGGACCTGTTTGAATCCACAGCCAAACTCTTCCAGCCTCCTTATTTTCACAGACCTCCAAGGATCCAGTCCAGGTAGACCGGGTCCCTGGAGGATCCAGTCCAGGTAGACCGGGTCCCTGGAGGATCCAGTCCAGGTAGACCGGGTCCCTGGAGGATCCAGTCCAGGTAGACCGGGTCCCTGGAGGATCTAGTCCAGGTAGACCGGGTCCCTGGAGGATGCAGCCTCTGGACAGCCAAGTGTTAATTGATGCTTTTTTCTGCTTATTTTATGTTGGCTGAGAAACAACCTTCTGGTGCATTAGCGCCACCTACTGGTAAAGATAGAACAGCTTAATTAGGAGCCTTTAGATTTATATTTAGACATTTGTTATTTGTTAAAAACAAAGAAATACCAATCTTAAAGGTTTAAGATTGGTTTAAATCTGATCTATCTGATCGAATTCAGTTTGTTCATGTTAATGATAGATCTTCAACACGCTCAAAGGTTACCTGTGGAGTACCACAGGGATCAGTGCTAGGACCAATTCTCTTTACTTTATACATGCTCCCAATTGGTAGAGTTATTAGACAGCATGGGATTAATTTCCACTGTTATGCTGATGATACCCAGCTATATCTGTCTATAAATCCAGATGAAGCTAACCCATTACATAGATTACAGGCATGTCTTGAAGACATAAAAACCTGGATGACTCTTAATTTTCTGCTTCTGAATGCAGACAAAACAGAAGTTATAGTCTTTGGACCAGAGTCTCTGAAAAAGAAGCTGATTAGTCAGTCACTTCATTTGGATGGGATTAAACTGATTTCAGATAATAAAGTAAAAAATCTTGGTGTTATTTTTGATCAGGACCTGTCATTTAAATCCCATATCAAAGAGGTTTCTAGAATTTCCTTCTTTCATCTGAGGAACATTGCAAAAATTAGAAATATCCTGTCCAGGGGTGATGCTGAGAAACTAGTCCATGCATTTGTTACTTCAAGGCTGGACTATTGTAATTCTTTACTATCAGGAAGTCCACAAACTGTAGTTAAAAGCCTTCAGCTGATCCAAAATGCTGCAGCCAGGGTTCTGATGAAAATGAAAAAGAGAGATCATATCTCTCCTATCCTGGCTTCTCTTCATTGGCTTCCTGTTAAATCAAGAATAGAATTTAAAATCCTCCTTCTCACATATAAAGCCTTAAATGGCCAAGCTCCATCTGATATCAGAGATCTGATTGTTCCTGATGTTCCTAACAGAGCACTTCGCTCTCAATCTGCAGGTTTACTAGTGGTTCCTAGAATTTCTAAAAGTAGAATGGGAGGCAGATCTTTTAGTTATCAGGCTCCTCTCCTGTGGAACCAACTACCAGTTTTAGTCCGTGAGGCAGACACCCTGTCTACTTTTAAGGCTAGGCTTAAAACTTTCCTTTTTGATAAAGCTTATAGTTAGGGTGGCTCAGGTTATCCTGAGCTATCTCTATAGTTATGCTGCTATAGGCTTAGACTTTTGGAGGACATAGGGACCCCCATTTCATCATTCTGCTTCATTCTCTCTCTGTTCTCCTATTCTGCAGAATCTGTTAGTTCAATCTCTAACCTTCTGTTCTCTCTGCTTTTCCTCAGAGTAGCTTTGCCTCGTCTGTTCCTGTTTGGCTGTGACGTCATCCTGGAAAAAAACATCAGCTGTGCTGCTTCTATCAACACCCTTGTTAATAGATGTTGGAGATCGGCCTGTTTTCCAGTGTGGTCCTGTTTCTCTGACCGTGACTGAGTGGATGTGCTCTCTTCGTCCTCTGGCATGGGAGCTGCCTTGGAGCTTTTCTGCCTGGCTGTGTGTTTCCTGGACGGGGCCGCCTTTTACAGCTGCTTTTTGTATCTCTGTTTCTGTCTCCTTGAACCCCAGTCGGCCTCGGCAGATGGCCGCTCCCCCTGAGCCTGGTTCTGCTGGAGGTTTCTTCCTGTTAAAAGGGAGTTTTTCCTCTCCACTGTCGCTACAAGCATGCTTAGTGTGGGGGATTGTATTTGAGTCAATGAGTCAATGCAATCAACTGGTTTTCCTTAGATAGAAAACTTTGTATCAATTTGACTGTATGATCTGGTTGAACTGTAAAGTGCCTTGAGATGACGTGTTGTGAATTTGGCGCTATATAAATAAACTGAATTGAATTGAATTGAATTAAATTTGATTACATTTTTGGACTACATGTAATTAATACTAATAGTTAATAGTGATCAAAGTTATACTTTGAAACAGTTTTTATCAAATCCTTTCTGCCACTCAGGGCTGCAGCAGCGCTCAGAGACTGAGGAGTGATGCAATCAGGAGGACTGAGCTGGAGCAGAGGTTCAGTTATGGACAGCTGCAGATGTTTCAGATGCAGCTATAGCTTTGCGTTGTGTCGCAGCTTTTCCCTTCAACCCCCATCATGACGGCATTAGCTTATTTAAGTTTTCTAAGGATCCTGAGCTGCTTTCAAAGCGGGGGAAGCAGGTCAGATCAGACCGGGGGAAGTTGGAGAACACCATGTTATCTTTACTGTGATTGGATCATTTGAAGGACGTGTTTTTATTTTGTTCCCTTGTTGAAAGAGTCGCTTGATGGTTCAGTGAAATTCTATCATGAGCATCATCCATCCGTCTGTCTGTCCTGCTGATGACCTCGGTCAGTTTCCTAGAAGCGGAGCAGAGACTCATCTAAAAGGTTCAGGAAGTCGGACCTCCAGGACCAGACCTGTGGAGCCCTGCTGTAGCGCCATGCTGTGAGCTCATCGGACACCTCTGAAGGTTTACTGAATTTATTTTCAGGTAATCAACATTAAACATTTACAGAAGGACATTACATCTTCCATAATAACATTACATAGAGGTTGGAACAAATAATGTAACATCTATTCTAAGGTTTACAATATTCTTTCCCCTCCTCTTCTGTCCCCAGACCACTGGTGAAGAAGCTGTTCTTCTGTAGTTCAGTGCAGCATACAAAATAAAAGCAAACTGCAAGATATGCTTCATATTAAGATCTTGCAAACACAGATTGATTGCTGAGCACAGCCAAGAAGCATCAGAACCGACCTACGTGTTTAGTCTAAGTCCACAGGAGAAACGGCCGGAATAGAAGCCGTTTATTTATCATCGAGCCAATCCTTATCGTACACGACTGCATGGATGAGGAGCAGAGGGGAACCTCTGCAGACGCTCCAAGAAGCCCCTAAAGCCACTGGGCGATCTCTGCTCCATGGCAACAACCCACCAACTTCTGGGTGAGACCACTGCGGGAACCCAGGAACACCAGTAATTACACAGGAAACCATCTGTGGAGGAAGAAGGTTCCGGTTTGTTTCCTGTGAGTCTCAGCTGGCAGAAAACCTTCGACATGCAGAACATGTTTGGTCCAACGTCTGATCAGATGCTCAGTGAATCTTCCTGATGTTTCTATGCTAATGAGAGCAGTGATGCGTTATTGCCATAAAGTCCCTAAAGTTCCTGGTAGGGACGGCTCATACCGACCAAAACATCTGGGATTTATTGCCATAACAGTAAAGGAGCTAACAACCGCTGAACGACTGAAGCTCTGAAGCCACAGACGGCTCTGGAAATAAAGTCGATCTGTGAGGGAGGAACCCAACTCAGGGTGGCGCCATCCGCCGACCCATGGGTCACGCTTTAGTCTCTGTTACTTGATAAGGACAAAGCTGTCGGTGTCTATTGCTTTGGTCTGCAGCCATCAGTTGTTGTAAATGATGGTTTTAATGATGGGCTATCGCTCCCATCATGACCACCCATGACCTCCTCCAGCTGCCTAAAGCCTGAGGAGCGACTGCCTCTTTCCAACACGGTCCTGATTGTTAGCTAGACCACTTCAGCCCACAGCTCTGGATACGGAGCAGCAGCTCTAGGATAGACCGACTTCCTCTCCTGTTTTTCTGCCACTTTTATCACATCTTCTCTTAACAACCATCATCTCCTGACCAGTGTTGGATCTTCTTCCCAATAGCAGAGCCGGACCTGTTCAGCCGTCTCTGGCTGCAGCTAGCCTACATAAGGACACTGGAATATGGTTTAATGTTAGAGCATGCTCTCAGCTCGCTTTGGGACCAACCAGAGGACAGGAACGGTTTGAATGGACACAAGAACATTTCACTCCAACGGATGCATAAACTAGACCAGTTCTCCCAGCCGGACGGAGACACTGAAAGGACAAGAGGAGCAGATCAGGAAGCTCTGCTGACTGGGAGCCTCAGCAGATGGGAATCACATCCGCAGCATCCGTTAGTCCTTCGCTTTAGATCATCCGCCGTCTGGCTGATCAACAGTGCAGGGCCATCATTATTGTTTCAGTTGATTTAAAACTGATTGATGGAAGGAATTCATTGCTTTGATAGTACTTCACAATCATCACCAAACCTACTCAAATATTATTTATATATTAGAACACAAAATAAAAGCACAGCAGTCCGTCTGAACCGGTTAGCAGATGATGCTCCTTTAGAAACCAGATCCATGTTCAGATGCAGAACATCCAGGAATCAGCAGCTTTGGTGGGAAGACATTATGGGAGCGTGAGCAGAGCGTGTTGGTGGAACTGCTAACCACCTGCACAGTACCTGCTGCAGGTAGCAAAACGTTAGACTCTGAGCTGAACAGACCCCCACATACGTTGAATGATGGCTCCAAACGTATGGAGAGCTTTCCAGCCTGTTTTCCATGTCTGTACATTAGCTCATCATTTGGGATGGAAGCACTGACACTTATTGCCCACGTTGATCAGGCTCAGACCGTCTGATCGCTGCTGCTTTGGAGGACTGGATCCTAAACCACATCAGACCTGTCCACCCAATCATCACACCGACCGAGATGGTTTAAGAGAAGCTTCTGGGATGCAACACAGAACAGATGAGATCAGGATCTGGATCCAACATGGAGGTCCTCTAATGGCTAGCGTGTTTCTGCAAACAGCGACCTGTTTGCAACAGATCGTCCCAACGACAAACATCGATGTTTAAGAACCAAAGTGGCCTCAAGTTGGAAGAATGAATGTAGCACGCATCCTGCTCTATGATGGAGTCTATGCAGGAGTCTATGATGGAGTCTATGCAGGAGTCTGTGCAGGAATCTATGATGGAGTCTATGGAGGAGTCTATGATGGAACCTATGATGGAGTCTATGGAGGATTCTATGATGGAATCTATGATGGAGTCTATGCAGGAACTATGATGGAGTCTATGGAGGAGTCTATGCAGGAATCTATGATGGAGTCTATGTAAGAGTCTATGAAGGAATCTATGATGGAGTCTATGCAGGAATATATGATGGAGTCTATGGAGGAGTCTATGATGGAGTCTATGGAGGAGTCTATGATGGAATCTATGATGGAGTCTATGGAGGAGTCTATGCAGGACTCTCTGATGGACTCTATGGAGGAGTCTGTGCAGGAATCTATGATGAAGTCTATGGAGGAGTCTGTGCAGGAATCTATGATGAAGTCTATGGAGGAGTCTATGCAGGAATCTATGATGGAGTCTATGCAGGAGTCTGTGCAGGAATCTATGATGGAGTCTATGCAGGAGTCTGTGCAGGAATCTATGATGGAGTCTATGGAGGAGTCTATGATGGAAGCTATGATGGAGTCTATGGAGGATTCTATGATGGAATCTATGATGGAGTCTATGCAGGAACTATGATGGAGTCTATGGAGGAGTCTATGCAGGAATCTATGATGGAGTCTATGTAAGAGTCTATGAAGGAATCTATGATGGAGTCTATGCAGGAATATATGATGGAGTCTATGGAGGAGTCTATGATGGAGTCTATGGAGGAGTCTATGATGGAATCTATGATGGAGTCTATGGAGGAGTCTATGCAGGACTCTATGATGGACTCTATGGAGAAGTCTGTGCAGGAATCTATGATGAAGTCTATGGAGGAGTCTGTGCAGGAATCCATGATGAAGTCTATGGAGGAGTCTATGCAGGAATCTATGATGGAGTCTATGCAGGAATCTATGATGGAGTCTATGGAGGAGTCTATGCAGGAATCTATGATGGAGTCTATGGAGGAGTCTATGCAGGAATCTATGATGGAGTCTATGCAGGAATCTATGATGGAGTCTATGGAGGAGTCTATGCAGGAATCTATGATGGAGTCTATGCAGGAATCTATGATGGAGTCTATGGAGGAGTCTATGCAGGACTCTATGATGGACTCTATGGAGAAGTCTGTGCAGGAATCTATGATGAAGTCTATGGAGGAGTCTGTGCAGGAATCTATGATGAAGTCTATGGAGGAGTCTATGCAGGAATCTATGATGGAGTCTATGCAGGAATCTATGATGGAGTCTATGGAGGAGTCTATGCAGGAATCTATGATGGAGTCTATGGAGGAGTCTGTGCAGGAATCTATGATGAAGTCTATGGAGGAGTCTATGCAGGAATCTATGATGGAGTCTATGTAAGAGTCTATGAAGGAATCTATGCAGGAACTATGATGGAGTCTATGTAAGAGTCTATGAAGGAATCTATGCAGGAACTATGATGGAGTCTATGGAGGAGTCTATGCAGGAATCTATGATGGAGTCTATGGAGGAGTCTATGCAGGAATCTATGATGGAGTCTTTGGAGGAGTCTATGCAGGAATGTATGATGGAGTCTATGGAGGAGTCTATGCAGGAATCTATGATGGAGTCTATGGAGGAGTCTATGCAGGAATCTATGATCACATCCCTCATCCTGCAGATTGAAAAAAACAAGCAAGCTAAATTTGGAGCTACGTTCCAGAACATTCCAGTTGTACAGCAGGAGCGGCGGCCATGTTTTCTCAGTCTGAAGAGCATTTTCCAGATATTGCACACAGAAAAGCTTCAGTTTTTAAAGCCAATGAAGGACCTCCGAAATGGCTTCCAGAGAAAATGTTGAATCTCCAAAAACCTCTCTTCGTCATCATCATCATCATCATCATCATCAGCATTGTCTTGACCGCTTTTTTAAAATAATCTTCCACAAATCAGAGATAAAGGAGACAGAAGTAAACCCCCCTCCTTTTCCTTTCAATGTTCCGTGTAACAAGCTGTAATAATAAAAATGTCCATTATATAGTTTTTAGATATCATACATACAAATATACATTCTTAAATAGGAGGCTAGTTACAAACACAGAACACGATATGCAGCGATAGTGACGCCATTTTCTCTCTACGGCGGCCATGATAGGTGATTACTGAAAACTTATAAAAAGTAAACAAAGCTTGCAAACGACAGTCTGAAATCTTCGGTACCGTTCAAAAAGGGACCCCTCTCATGCACCCCCACAAACACAGTCAAATATTGTGTGAAGGTAATAAATAAAGAGAGCTGGAGCTCTTCCCGATGCCTCCATCTTCTGCAGCCACCTGGAATCAGACAGAGACAAAGAGGCAGAGTCAGAAACAGATCCAGACACTTCTGCTACATTTGTTTGGGTTTAAATCTTCCCAGACTTTAAGACAACTAACCTAGTAGGTTAAACCAGTTTGGTTAGATTAACCAATATATTGCTGAGAATCTCACCAAGGCACTGGATTAGGATCCACCAATTTAACCGATTTAGAAGAAAACCAATAAAATGGTCTATTCACTCATACATTCATTCATTCAATCATACATTTATTCATCTATCCACTTGATTTGTGATCATCACACTGATTTATGCTGCCTTACAGAAACCTGGCTGCAGCAAGAGGATTATGTGAGCATAAATGAGGCAACTCCTTCAAGCTATTTAAATTTTCACATCCCCAGAAGTTCTGGGCGAGGAGGAGGAGTAGCAACAATCTTCCAGTCGGACTTACTGATTACTCCCAAAACAATTAATACCTACAACTCTTTTGAACATTTAACCCTTAATTTCCCTGATCCAAATTTCAAGGCAAGAAAACCTCTTCTTTTTGTAACTTTGTATCGTCCACCAGGTCCTTACTCTGAATTTTTAGATGAGTTTTCAGAGTTCCTTTCTGATTTGGTATTAAATACTGACAGGGTCATCATAGTGGGAGATTTTAACATCCATGCTGACATTGAAGGCGATAGCTTAAGAGCAGCCTTTAATGCTATCTTAGACACTATTGGCTTTGTTCAAAATGTGAATAGTCCCACACATTCTCATCTTCATACTTTGGATCTTGTGCTGACATACGGCATAGAATGTGAAGAAATAACAGTATTTCCTCACAACCCTGTCCTCTCTGACCACTTTCTAATAACCTTCAGGATTACTTTAACAGAGTTCTCCTCCCCCAAAAGAAGGTTCAATTTTAGTAGATCTTTATCAGATAGTACAGTTATTTATTTTGAAGAATCTGTTTCACTTTCTCTCTCCTCTGTGTCTCTGGACAGTGGCAAAGTCTGGCTTATTCCCCTTCACAGGTTGATGATTTTGTTGATGGGGTTGCTAGTTCTCTGCGTACTGCCTCAGACAACGCAGCTCCTTTGAAAAAGAAAATCTTTAAAAATAGAAAGCTGCTTCCTTGGTTTAATGCAGAGCTGCGGACTTTGAAGCAAAATGCTAGGAAACTGGAGAGAAAATATCGCTCCACAGGCCTGCGAGAGTCCTTCCTAGTCTGGAAAAATGGTTTACTGCTGTATAAGAGGACCCTTTGCAAAGCAAGAGCAGCATATTTCTCCTCATTAATAGAGGAGAATAAGAATAATCCTATATTTCTTTTTATTCCAGTTGCCAAACTCACCCAGAGCCATAGCTCTGTTGAACCGTCCATTCCACCTGCTCTTAGCAGCAATGATTTTATGGGATTCTTTATCAATAAGATTGATTCTATTAAGATTAAGATCATTAGCACTCCTCTATGACTGGTTTATATCTGGAGGGTGGGGCAGCATCTAAGGTAGCCAAAGAATCTGAACCGGGTTTAGACTGCTTTGATCCAGTTGAACTTTCAGAGTAGATCACTAGAACTAAGAAAGTAGATCAGAACAATTAAGTTTTACCTGATTGATAACAAAGCTGAAAAAATCTGTTTCTGGTGAACAAAGTAACTGTTAGACCATGATATTAAGGGGGAGAGCTGGGTAGCGCTGTGGCTAGCTGTGCTTAGTAGCTAACAGCTTAGCCTCTTTTAGCTCGCTCAGTTAGCCATATTATGCTACACTACTTTTAAATTTGTGTCAACAAAACCGCTTGTTTTCTACAAGTAGAATAATTGTTTTTTTTCCTAAAATCTATGAAAGTCATTTTTTTAGATGTTCCATTTGTCCTCCTCTGCCCTTAGATATTAATAAAAAGAATATAAATAAACAGACTTTTAGTGTCATCTTGTCAAATGGCAGAGCTCAGTCTGTCTTAGAAGCCGGTACTTTCCTTCCAGACTGACAATGATTGTTTTCTACTTTCGGCTACTTTAGATCGTTGATGAAATGTAAAATAATAGCAAATAAGTAATAATATGTTGAGACTCCAGAAGACATTTCATCCTTGTTGATTCTTCTGCAGCGGATGTCCTACCGCCTCCATGGAGCCACTGGACACTTCATTATCTGCACCGTCTGAATGCATCTTTGCATAAACGTGAACTCACTTATGAGATAAATAAGAGACAGGCGACATTACTTTATGGTTAACCGGTAGCCACACTGCCCGCTCTCGCTGAACACAGAGAACAAAGAGGCTCCGCCTTTATTGCACATATAAACATGTAGCCCTCTGCTTTACAAAGTAGTGCCAAACAAAAATATAACAGTGGCAAGCATCGTACTCAACAATCCTTAAGAAACAGGTGCAATACAGTTTGTCCGAGTGGAGATGCCATATGGTGATGTCATAAAAAGGGGCGGGGCCCTGAGCAGATCTGGTACCTACAGCGGTTCTGAAGTCCTCTCACTGGCTCCCTGTAACTCAGAAAATAGACTTGAAAATTCTTTTGTTAGTCTAGAAATCACCTTAATCCATAACTGATCTGTTTTCAGTGGATCTACCTCCTAGACCACTCAGGTCTTCTAGTTCCAGCCTACTCTGTCAACCCACATCTAGAACCAAACATGGAGAAGCAGCATCTATGCTCCACGGATCTGGAACAAACTCCCATCAGACTTTAAAAGAGCTGAAAGCCTGAGTTCTTTGAAGTCTGAGTTAAAAACCCGTTAGTTTAGAGCTGCCTTTCACTAATGGATCTGGTAAGAGGATAGTGAATTAGTCCAATCAGCCTTAACGGGTCAGACGGGTTCAGGTTTTATCGCAATGTTCAGTTCAGTGTCTCCCTAGTAACAAAAACATGTTGAAGATGAATCAGACATTCATCTTTCTCTGCCTGCATGAACAGATCCTTTGCAGTGGTCTCAGGAAAGCTTCCCTAATCTGATTTCAGGTGGAGACATGTGAGGTCAGCAGACCTCATAGAAGAGATGATGTGATCCACCAGAACAGGGAGAGACTCAGCAGACATGTGATGGTCTAAGTGGGACTAATCAGGAAACTGTTTCTCACTTGTTTCGCCAAACCAGAGCCAAACTACACAAACAGCTACTAACCTCAGTGATGGACATCTTTACAGCAGAGACAATAGAGCTGTACTGCTGGGTGGAGCAGCAGGGAAACACCAAACAGATTTCCAAATAACCTTATTTATAAAGCATCATTTGACATCACTCATCACCTTTAGGCACTATCCAGAGACAATTCAATCAGATCATCCAGTCAGACTAGTAAAACGTTCCTGGGGAAACCAGCTGATTAAGACCAATCGTTGCAGGACAATCTCCTCTGGAATGAAGAAGGAGAGACTGAAGACATTAGCTGGTGTTGACTCTACAGCAGACTGTCCAAAATTGGATCCAGGGCCGCTTTCCTGCAGGTTTAAGGTTTCCCTGCTTCAGCACAGCTGATTCTGACAGGTGCAGTTTAGCAAAAGTCTTTTAATCAGCAATTAAGTGGAAATCAGCTGAGCTGCAGAAGAAAAACCTCTAAAACTTTCAGAGAGGTCAAAGGGAATACTTCCTTAAATAACCTGGTTGGAACTGGATCTAACATACAAGCAGTGTTAATTTCGTCAACCAGGACGATGACGAAAATATTTCGTTAACTCCCCTTATTCCCGTGATGATGACGAGACGAAGACGCACAAAAATAGTTTGGCAGAAAATAAAAATATGACAAGAATAAAAAATTATTTTCATTAAAAAAATTTAATTGTTAATAATTAATTTGTAATAGTTAATATAACTGTTTCTTGAACGCGTTGCCGCCCTGTTTGTCCCTACACTGCGCATGTCCCTCATTGCCTCGTGCCGCTCAGTCAGTAGTAGCAGAGAGCTTATACTGGTCACTTGTAGTAGTTAACGGCGTCTAGCTCAACTAGTGTAGTAGTAGGATCGGTTTGGCCTGTAGTAGGAAGAATGGAACCTTCTTTTGGGGCAGGAAAACTCTGAAGTAATCCTGAAGGTTATTAAAAACTATTCAGAGAGGACAGGGTTGTGAGGAAATACTGTTATTTCTTCACATTCTATGCCGTATGTCAGCACAAGATCCAAAGTATGAAGATGAGAAAGTGTGGGATTATTCACATTTTGAACAGGAATAGATTGTTGCTACTCCTCCTCATCCAAAATTTCTGGGTATGTGAAAATTTTAATAACTAGAAGGATTTGCCTCATTTATGCTCACATAATCCTCTTGCTGCAGCCAGGTTTCTGTACGGCAACATAAGTCAATGTGATTACCACAAATCAAGTCATTAACTAGCAGACTTTTTTTGAAAAAAGAGATCTTCTGTAAAAAAAAAAAACCCACATGTAATCGTTTTAACTTTGTTCCTAATTGGGAGATACTTTAATTTTGATTAGATTATCATGATTTACTGCTTTGGGAATATTTGCTAATTGATTAGATTTTGGTCGTGGGCAAGACACTGTCTGGATGGAGTAAAGAGTGGGTAACAGTAGAGAAGCTGCAGAGAGGTCTGTTAAACTAGGACTCTGCTTCCTGGTCTGCACCCTGGGGGGTCAGGGTTTTGGAGGACTAATAAATGTGGCCAGATTCCTAGAAAGAAGAGCCGCTCCAATGATACCTGCACCACCTAACAGGGTGAGGAGGTACAGGAAGTGTTTGAGTAAATGAAGTCACCATCTCATCGTCCACACTGTCACACATCTTAGACGCCAACAAGGAGCTCATTGTTTTACAGATCTGATGGACCGAGCACAGATGAAGGCCTCCACTTTCCTAGAATCTGAATGCGTCAATAAGCTGTGGGGGAGGGAGGCAGTTTGGAAGCATGTTGCAGTTATGAGCTCTTAGACCTACAGCTCTGAACGTTTGGATCATTCTCAGCATCTGGACTTGGTTCCAGCTGTTACACCTCAGGCTTCCTGCAGAGCCTCCAGTCTCTGAGTTAACTGAAACTAA